CTATATAATAGCATGAATTACAATTTTACTTCATACCTTTCAACAATTAGAAAATTACCATTCAGATGTACATCTTGTTTTTTGGATGATGTTGAGTGAATCTCTGAGACATGCTTGTTTATCAGCGTGTGGTTCACCAAAACCAAATGTTTACAAGAACTTACTACAGGGCCCAGCAAGACAGTCTTAGTCACTGTCTGGAAGCTAATGAGGGCCTTACAGTAGACACTACTAGATCTGTTTTCTGCCAGACAGAATAATCCACCGTCTGATCAGGATAATCTGCCTGCCTGACCTGCCATTTGACCTACTTCACCCCCTGCTGACCAAGCAGAGGCACAGTACAGTCTCTTCAGGGATGAAGAACCCACCATGAGGGTTTCTTCAGTGTTAAAGTACTTTCTACTATCCTAGTTTAATGTGCAGAGACATCTACAGTAAGCAATTTTTTGGGTGATTTCCCCAAACAGTGTAAACACCTCTGCTCTGTGGCACTTTCAACATTGCTTGGCTTGTTTGCATGGCCCAATGAGGTCTGCAATATCTGGAGAGAGCTATCAGTTAGCTTTCCCACTCATCACATGGCTGTTGCTCACTGCCACTTGACAAATCTGTCCCGAAGACTAATGCAGATGGGTGTTTGAAAGAGGACATTATAGCATGTAGTTTATAGGCAAGGCATGTTTTAAGAGTGAATTTAGGTGTTAATGCGGTTTCAAAGTCATAAACAGAGACACGGAAACCATTGACATCAGCAGTGTAAGGTCAGCCGCTGACTCACAGCTGGATAAACACTGATCTTACTAGAATTTCTCTCTCCAGTTCAGTTTCTATCAGTCCCTTTTCTTTGTAAATCTTTTTTTTCTGTTCATCCATTCACTTCGGCTCTTGTCATCTTTGTTTCTGTCTGCCTTTTCCTGTCAGTCTGTTATTTGTGGCCTTTGTCTTCCTTTCTGTTGTTTTTCCCTCTCTTGTTTTATTCTGCATTCCTTGAAAACTGCTCTCAAGGCTGCTTTCCTTAAAAGCACATCAGACAGTGATGGACGTAGACAGATTTGCTAAACTCTTGAGAGGAACTGCTCGAAGCTTCAACTTTTAAACTTCCTGTCAAGTGCTTGAGGTAAAATCTAAACGTTGCAGGCAATGGATGTTGTCCTCGTTGGGTGTCTTTTTCACCTTAAAGCAAGTTTGTTGCCTGGCTAAGTGCTGCTAATATAAGCCTTCCAGTGGGAGACTGGTTTAAGAGCTTTGACTATCGTATCAAGTTGTTGAGTTATGTCAGAGTGTCATGTCTGGGAGGTCAACCTGTAAGTCATGTGTAGGAGTAGCACATCAACACTCAGCTAAGATGTTCTGTATGCTGGCTTGGACTGGGACAAACAGATAAATCATTGTCTCCACCCAAGTGTTATTTTAGCCAGTAGGATGAGATCTGAGTCAGATTGTAAAGGAAATTTCACAGCTACGGTGTTAAGATGTGACTCTTTGTGTTTTCGTGGAAAGAGTCTATGCTCATTTGAGGTGTTCACACATACTGAGATTTTTATTGCTGTAGGTCGCTAAGTGGCTCTAAGGGATAGTTCACACAAAAATACTGTAATTTATTCACCCTCATGTTGTTCCAAACCTGAATGGCTTTCTTTGGTCTCTGAAACATAAAATGAAAATCAAGGAAGACCATTATTGCTTGGTTCCCTTGGTTCTCAAAATATACAGAAAATATGGAGAAGAAACAAAGTCATACAGGTTTAGAACAACTTGAGGGTGAGTAAATTATGACATAATTTACATTTTTGGGTGAACTAGCCCTTTTTGGGTTCCCATGGTCATGGAAAAGCTTGAAATATAAGAATTTCCTTCAAGATATGGAAATTAATAAAGTCTAAAAAAAAGGTATATATATATAAATAGATGAATATTTGGTAAGGGTAAGGGGCATGACATTTCCCGACCAGGCACCGAGTGCTGCCAATCACAAAACACACTGGCCCAGAACTTTGCACAATGTTTCAGAACATTGAACACAGAACATTTTGATAGTTATGCTAGTATTATTCCTGTGTAAAATAAAACTTAAAAGCCACAGTAGTGTCCGATTTGTGAGTGACTTGGTTCTTTTTAATTAATTGGTTGAAATAGTTCAGAAATATATTAGCTGTTTAGTATCAGTAATAAAGAATGACTGGAAAAGTCATGGAAATTCATTGGTCAAAAAATATGAAAACCCTGTATATTATTGCAGGTAATAACTTACTGCTGGATGCTGTAATGTTATTGGTGAGATTAGGGATGCACCGAATGTTCGGCAACCGAAATTATTCGGCCGAAAATAGCAAAAAAAGCTCTTTCAGTGTTCGGCCGAATTAGCGAAAAGACCGAACAATGATATGACAATGCGATACGTACGACATATTCGTAATGAGACTCATTTATAAATCTGTTGTCAACAAAATTAAGCATTGAGGTCTTCCTGCGCGTTTCCGCCAAAATACAATTTGAGAAAAAGCAAGAACTCTTATCAACATTCATAAATGTTAGTATTGTAATTTTGTTCTGTAAAATAAAATAAAAAGTAAGACAATAATAATTAGGGATGCGCCGATCCACGCGAGGAAAATCTGCGCTGATACAGTCGTCAGTTGCTCAGTCACATTTTTATGAATATTTACAAGGCATGTTACAATGCGATACGTACGACATATTCGTAATGAGACTCATTTATAAATCTGTTGTCAACAAAATTAAGCATTGAGGTCTTCCTGCGCGTTTCCGCCAAAATACAATTTGAGAAAAAGCAAGAACTCTTATCAACATCACAGAGATATATAAATTCTACATTTATTTAAATGGGGGAAAAAAACTTCACTGGTATCGTATCGGTATCGGCCAATACCGAACCCTAGGTATCGGTATCGGTGGCGAAAAAGGCGGCTCGGAGCATCCCTAATAATAATGATAATAATCATTACAACAGCTCTGTTTTAATACATTTATTATAACATTCACACATAGTGTTCAAATTAGGATCTGTAATATTTTCTAATGTTTTAAAAGAAGTCTCTTCTCAGCAA